CTGGATTTATTCGGAGCGACAGTCCACGAGAGACAAAACGAACAAAAAATTTTAGCAGCGCGTGAAGATATACCTTTAGGCAGTGGGCAATAAATGTAGCGTTTCAGAGCACATTGTTCTTGTTTCGTGACAATCGCCGACGTCCTTTCACGCTCTTTTGGGAACGCTAGGAAACATTCGTGATCTGTTCCTGTTCGGCGTTCCGCCTGCTCGCCAATTACAGTTGGTTGGTCGTTGGTTCTAATCGTGGGAAAAAAAGGAGCTCGCGAGCCACGAAAAATTCAGAGTGGTGCTGTATTACACGACGGTGTTAATTATTACGCGATCGAGCGTTAATGCATGATATTGCATATTGACGCATGTATCTACGTATGTACACCACATCGAGTGACTCGTCGGGTCGGAGTGCAATTCAGTCGATGTAGACTGGAATAGATCGTGGAACAGGTAACGTAGCACAACCAAGCACTTAGGAGCGGTCAAAAATTTACGCGACTACGCGATATACATTTCACGATAACGTTCAACGAACAGCCGCGTGCCGGCACACATTGATTTACGCGAGCACGGAAATTGGTTATTGAAAAAATGGCGGCCGAGGCAATGCTGAACAAGAACCGAATGATGGTGTTTAAGAACAAAGGCAAAGACCAGGAGGTGAGTGAATTATTATTGCTTCTCTACGAGGAAATAATTCTCATGTGATGAAAATTTTTGGAACGAGACGTTCTTACGATTCGCCATCCCACACGATACCACTTCCCCCCCTCCCTCCTCCCTTTTGAACTCGTGCATGCGTTTATACCTGCGAATTACTTCGTCTTCCTCCAGATTTCTCCCTTTTCCTTCTGCACCTGTTTTCTTCTTTCTTTTTATTGTCTTGTTCCTTTTTGCTTCTATTACCTTTCTCTCCATCTTCCTTATTTCTCACATTACCACTTTACCCCTTCATTTTTTTCTTTCTTTTCTGTTTCTTACTTTTTTCTCATTTTATAGTCTCTTGTCTTTTCTCTTATTTTACGTTGTTTCTTTTATTATTTATTGGTTTGTTTGCTATTTCATTTTTATAATTATATTCAAATTGCCATATTATAATAGTTTGATAATATTATTTTATTAAGTTATATATATTTGTTATTATATACATTTGTATTCTCAACATTTGTTTATTTTGAGATTATACAAATTTTTGACTTATATATTCATATTAAAATATATATAAGAATCATTTAATCTTTATCTCATATATTCCAGTTATGTAAAGTGAATTATGTATTATATTAAAATGATATTATTTATACATCACACAATTTACATATATTATATATATGTAAATACAATTTATATATATTTAAATAAACTTGATTTTTTTCACTAAGTTAATCTTTACAGTCAAAATTAACCTTAAGTGTTCGAATAATAGATTTATATGTATTTTAAATAAATTTATCTCAAATATATGACTGCATCGATTACTTTTGGACAACACAATCTAATTGAAATAAT